TGTTCAGTGCCCTGAGATGACTTCTGTTGTGACTTGACGCTATATAAATAAACTGAATTGAACTGAATTAAAAATAAATATAACGCTACTTTGCAGATTTTCACCTGCCGCGAGGGTCTCTGGAACGTAACACCCATGATAGGTGAGGGATGACTGTATATGTGGATGAAGTTTTGTTAAATTATCTTGAGTGGATCATAAGTCATGGACAGGACAAGAGAACGTTTACATACGTACGAACAGAGACTATACCATAATACGTTCATCTTGGACAGGCATGTAAAAAGTATTTGTTTTTCTTGACTGGACCACTAACACAAATATGTTTTGATTTAACCCATTCCATTGTAGTTCTGGCTAGACGTTTCAAGCCCTGCTGCAAGGTGAACCTCCACCCCAGTATTCTGCAGCCTCTAACAGGCTTCCTTCCAGGATTGCCCTATATTAAACACCATCCATCTTCTCATCATCTCTGACTACATTTCCTGTCCCTACTTACAAAAAAACTTTCCCACAGCCAGTCACAAATGTAGAAAAGTTTAAGTGGTGTGATAAAGGACAACCTAAATGACATCTACGTTTTAACCCTCTATTTTCCAGGATTATTCATTGATTTATACACAGGATGATACCAGTAGAGACTGAACACCCCAAAATACATTACCTCTGCCCCTGTGCCCTGCATGGTCTCCTGAGGGATACTGTAGATCTTCTGGTGCATATCCACTTTTTGTTTCTTTTCACTTCGAAGTCTAACCAGAAGAACCCTAAAGCTGGAGCCTCCAAGGTCCAAAGCCAAGAAATCACCTTGTTCTGATCAGAGAATGCAATCTGTTTAGGAAGTCTTCATTTAATAATGATTCTGGGGCATCACGTTTTCTCGTGAACCTACCTGTTCCATCAGGAGTGGATCTGACGTAGGTGGGAAGCATCTTGACGCTTGTCTGGTCATGGGTCTGCTTAGACAGGCCTAGTACCATTCCCTCCGTCATCCTCCTCTTGACCTCGAGCAGCTGTTCGCGACTCAAACGCAGGGTATCAAGGATGCACTGCCGCTCGGCATGTTGAGCAGCAACGCGGTAGGCTACTGCCGTCACCATGGCCGCACCTTTCCCGCTGCCACACTGGGACTGCAGAAATCTCACGTCACAATCTGGCACAAGCCGCCGCACCATTTTGTGGAGTCTTCTGGGAAATCTAAAGTTAAAAAATAAATATAAAAATTTTTTACAACTAATTTCTTCTGTGTTCTAGTTTTCTTAGATAACAGTGAGAGACAACAGGATCATTTGACTCTGCTACTTTCAGGTAAAATATTGCTTTTAAACCATTTTACAGCAAAAAAAAAAAAGAAACAAGAATTTTTCCAAGATGATGGTTAGCAGTTTTTTTCTTACACATCTTCTCTGCTAAGAAGTCCCTGTGCTTTTATCTGTGTCTTGCGGAAAAACCCCCACAAAAACTCCTCAAAAATGTACATCCCTAAACTAATAAACAGGTACATTTTATCCAGACAATCACTGTGCATTTTCACACTCGAGAGGAAGAAAGCATTGATTTTGTTGATTGACATTTATGACATTTTCTGTAGATTATCCCTTTTGTCAACCTTTAAAAACTTCAAACCATCTTGTCCTTTGGCACATTGTTCCTCCAACTCTGTCCTTAATTCTCTCCCTTGTGCTATTTTCAGTACATATTACGGTATATTGTGTGGAAACATGAATGGATTCATATAAGAACTGCTGCACGATTTAAAAAAAAAAGTGTAATTCTCCAGAAAGCTGTATTATGTATTATTGCTAATACCCTGTAGACTGGAAGTTAATTTATAAAAAGTAAAAAAAAAAAAAAAACAAGCTGTAAAGTAATTTTGTTTGGCTTGTCCAAGGTGGCGCAGCGTGATGTGTCCTGGCGAGTGGAGGGAGCAATTTTATTCATCACCAGGTGCAAAAGAAGGAGCCAGGGAGAGTCCAATGGTGGCCTTGGCCACCATAGACTAATCTTCAACCATCCCACTGTCCATCCCAATCATCTGAGGAAGTTATATTTTTAAGCAAAATTAAAAAAAAAACAAGAAAGTATAGTTTCCTCAAATAATAGGGTGGCCAGTTTACATATGGTGGTGGCCATCAAGGATTTTGACATGTCAATCTAATTTTTGAAAGGAACGTTTTTATACGCCTAGATGCAGCCACACACCGAAAAGGAGGTTGGCCCAGTGCTTATCTTTAACGTTATCTAGCTCACAAAGTTTGCATATATATGGTGGTGGCCATCTTGAATTTTGACATTACATCCAAATTTTTGACAGGAAACTTTCTTGCGCCTAGATGTAGCCTCACCCCAAAATGGAAGTCAGTACCTCACTTATTTTTCAACTTATCGTGCTCACAACATGCAAGGACAGACAGATGGATGGAGGGTATCTCCAATTTTCCATTTTCATTCTGTGTCAGTGTGATAGGGACAATTAAATAGAGCAGAGTTGACAACACGCAAAAAATAAATAAAAATTAAAAAAATTAAAACCACTTCAATTTGCATTGTAAGCTAATATTAAAATCTTGTAATTCATTAAAAAAACAAGCATACAAAACAAAGGACCTCCAATGAGAACATGACAAATACTGTAATCAGGATGTTTGTGTCTTTGCACATGTGACTATAAATATGTACTTTTTGTGTGTGTGCATACTGAAAAACGTGCGCTCAGTCAACCCCTTCTGAAAGTGACAGAACAAGTTGAATTCTAATCAGATAAGTATCAGTGCAGATAATTAGTTTGGGTTTAACTGGCAGGCCAAAGTGTATATCTTAAATTCATTATAAAAGAAGCTTGACGTACTGCCTGTATGCAACTCTCAGGAACTGAACCCCTTGTACCTAACTGACAGAGCTGATAAGAGAGAAGTGACAGTTCGACGTGTCTCCTGTTTTATCTTTCAGCATGATCACTGGGATGGAAAAATATGTCTGCAAAGTGCAGTAAAGGAAGCAGGGCAATACACAGCTTTGTAAATGAAAAACTGAAAGTCAGTCAGGCAATCATCGACGACAGGAGAGAACTTTGAATGAGCTCCTATTATGCAGAAGGCTTAAACAATAAAGACTACATGGACTTCCTGGAACACTTCAATCCATTTCAACCCAAATACACTCAGGGACTTAGAGGTACACAGAATGACAAGTGAAGATACACTCAAATGTTTTGGTCATGCTCAGTCCTGAAGCCACCCTATGATAATCCTATGATCCACATTCCACAATTAAAGGGTAAAATGTACATGATTGTGCCCCGGATCACTCACTCTGGATGATTCTTGTAAACCGATCCATCCACTCCGATTGTGGTACGTAGCTTTTCAGCTGCTTTGTTATCTCGGATCTGCCGCAGCACTGCAGCCAGAGTGGCAGCACACAAATGAGCGGCACGCGTAGATACAATCTGACACACTCTTCTGGTAGCTATGCAGTCATCAACCGATGGGTCCAGACCAAGACCACGCAGCACCTTCTCAGCATTTGCTTGGCCTTCTTCATCTCTAAATGTAAAACAGAAAATGGAATCAGCTGACATGAAACTTCATGATGAAATACAAAGCAGATTATACAGCTAATATCAGAAATACAAGTTTTGGTGTTAAACAATAAACTTTTACAGAATTTTTTTTTTTCATTTATTCAGCCTTTATTTAGACAGATAAATCACACTGAGCCTCGAAGACTCATTTACAAGTGAGATCTGCTTAGACAGACAAAAAGTAGTGAAACTGGAACACGTAGGAATTGGAGGCAAAAAAAATCCTTTTAAACTTTTTCTTCTTGACAGAGAAGAAAAATTCTAATATATATTAAAAAAAAACCTTGCACATACAAGCACATAGTGACGTAGACATTGCGCAGAGGGAGTGAGACAACGAGAGCAGTGAGCAATGTTCAAGGATGCACTTGAGGACCCTGTAGGAGTTCTGATATGCTCTATTCAACCTCTGCTCGACTGCCTGGCTGACATCAGGGACTGGATGGCTTTAAACTTCTTAAGTTTCAATGAAAAGAAGTCTGAAGTCATGTTGTTCCCTCCCAATGGCACGATCACAAACCACTGCATCGACCTTTCCGCTCTAACCCCGTCAGAAAAACAAAGAGTCACTAATCTGGGTGTGATAATGGACCCTTCCCTGAAACTTAACAATCATGTAAACATGATTGTTAAATCATGTTTCTTCCAACTGAGGCGGCTGTCTAAACTGAAGCCCATATTGTCCAAAAATAACCTGGAGACAGGAATACATGCATTCATTACATCTAGGCTTGATTACTGCAATTCGCTCCTGTTTGGTATCAGTCAGATCTCCATTGCACGACTACAACTGGTCCAGAATGCAGCAGCCCGATTTTTAACCAGTACAGGCAAAAGAGAGCACATTACACCAGTTTTGGCCTCACTGCACTGGCTACCGGTCCACCTTCGAATCCAGTTCAAAATCCTCTAGTATGTCTACAAATTGCTGAACAGTCCCCCCATCTCTCTGATTTGCTACAGCCGTTTGTCCCACCACGTTCCCTCAGGTCAGCAGACCAGTTGCTCCTCACAGTTCCAGGAACTCGTCTTAAGCGCAGAGGTGACAGGGCCTTCTCTGTTGCAGGCCCAAGACTTTGGAACAAGTTACCTCTGCTTGTCAGACAGGCCCCCTCCCTCTCAGTTTTCAAATCCCGTTTAAAAACCCACTACTATTCAGTAGCTTTCAACACCAGATGATCTGTGTTTTGAACCTGTACGCTCCACACTGGTTAGTCGTCATATTTATTATCTGCATCGTTTTTATGTCTATATTCTGATACCTCATAATTACCTCATTTTGTATATTTCTTTGTGTGTTGCCTGTTTTTCTGTCTGTACAGCACTTTGGTTGGCCTTGTCGCTGTTTTAAGTGCTCTATAAATAAAATGGTATGGTATGGTATGATATGGATGTAATAATCAACCAGTTCCCTCCGTGAGATCCGTAAACATTCTCGAGTGATGTTGGGGAATGGCCAAGGACAACGCCTATGGGAATCCGAGTCCTGAAATGATGACACAATGTTTATTCAGCTGTTTCACCTGGTTATCAGTTGGAAATTCCTCAATGGTAGGGGGAGGGGGCGGGGCAGAGTGTCAGATTACATTTTCTCCAGGCAAATTCAGATAAGATGGCCTTCAAGGCCAGCTGAGGGAGCCAAATTCAGATAAACACACAGTTGTTTTGGGGACAGGCAGAACTTAATGACATCTACCTTAAGTCTGTGTTGGTCCAAATGGTTCCGAAATGTCCAAATTACATGGCCACTCTGATGGAACGTGCCCGAGTAAAATCCCCGAGATCTGATCCATTCAGCCCAAAGCATTTGAGTCTGGGTACTCGAGGCATGAACCAAGCCATCATAAAGGCAAGCAGCGTGATTGGGTCCAAATTTTCTGCCGACGACTTCATTGATTGTAGATAAAACCAGCAAACAGCCAAATCCAAAACGTAGGAACCAGTTATCGTAAATCCAATTAAATATGCGTCCTTAAAATCCACAAATGTCAACAGAGATAGACAAATCATCAAGTCTTCAAGTCGATGAGATATCCAGCTGCGTGCATGCCGACAGGGCAAATCGGTTCGCCTAAAGCCTGTCTTCTATCAGAAGAAATGTTATCAATTGTGTTGAGGGACCAACTTATCAAAACAAGTCCATAATTATGGTTCGGAAGATATGCAAGAGAGGCTCAGAAGCAGTTTCACAGACAGAGAGAGCAGCAAAGCAAAGCAGAGAGGGAGAGGAAGGGAAAAGCATCCGACCTCGGCAAGAGCAAGTGGTGAAGTTAATCCAGTTTCAACAACACATTGACTTAAACTAAAATGAAAGCAAGGACAGTATTTCTAGCAGGTTAACACTTTAAAGCAAGTTAATTTTCAAACACTACTACTTGTTAACATTAGGCTTTGGTAATAAGATAAACTCTTTTGACTGACCACTGTAAGTCCAACAACTGAAAATTGGTGATATATTTGCACAGGTATCATTAAGTGTTTTGTTTGGAAGGAGGGTAGTACTAGGAATCCTTCTCTGTACCATGTTAAAAGTTTGTGGTAAAAAAAAATAAATAAATATAAAGACCAGAAAAAAAAGAAAGAAAGAAAATCTAACGTCACTGACCTCAGATCACATTGGTAATAAAACAAGGAGTTTTAGCCAACACTTTAAAATTTACTAGACCTGAGCAAGCAGCTCCTGGCTGATTAGAAGCTATGGGCAGTTTTAAGACACCGAAAGAAAGTTTGTGATTGTTAAAATCAGTGCTGTAGCCAGAACTGAGTTTACAGACTGGTCTAACTGAAAATGGGTGGGTCGGTGTTGGGGAAAAAAAAATTCTCACTTGATCTCGCTTACTCAAAAGGAGCCACACAGGAGTTTTTTAACCGGTTTTTATTTGCAAGGACAGATTTTCAGGACAGGTTACACAGACATACAGAAAGTACACGAATGAAGCCCAGTCACAAGAATCTGTCAAGAGCAGTGTGTGGCGCTTGTTTTTATATGCTTATCAGTTCAGCCAAGCTCACAGGCTCAGAGGCATCCTTAAAACGGGAACCGGAACAATGTTTACTTTTATGTTGACCCTGTTTTATTTTTATTTTATCAGGTGATATTTTGATTTACTCCTTCTTGAATTGCTAACTTATCATGGTGGAAGAGTTTGTGCGCCTGAATTATCCTAGGAGCTATGCTGTCCAGGGCAATTGTAAATGCCCCAATGTAGGGTCTCCCAAGACAGATTGGTTATAGGTGACAGGCCAGACAAAGAGCGATTCAGAAAACTTTTATGGACAAACAAAAACATGGAACTCAGTGTCCCTTGCCCGGACGTAGGTTACCGGGGCCCCACCCTGGAGCCAGGCCTGGGGGAGGAGCTCGTCGGTGGGTGCCTGGTGACTGGGTCTCTACCCATGGGGTCCAGTCAGGCTCAGCCTGAAGGAGAAACATGGGTTTGCCTTCCTGTGGGCCCACCACCTGCAGGAGGGGCCATACAAGTTGGGTGCATGACTTCATGGGCAGTGGCCAAATACGGGGACCTTGGCGCTCTGACCCAGGCATACCAAAGTTGGCTCTTGGGACATGGAATGACCTCTCTGTCAGGGAAGGAGCCTGAGCTTGTGCATGAGGTTGAGAGGTACTGACTAGATATAGTTGGGCTCACCCCGATGCACAGCATGGACTCTGGAACTAATCTCCTTGAGAGGGGCTGGACTTCATTCCATTCTGGAATTTCCCATGGTGAGAGGTGCCAAGCTGGTGTGGGTCTACTTTTGGCCCCCCCGACTTGGTGCCTGTGTGTTGGAGTTTTCCCCGGTAGATGAGAGGGTGGCTTCCCTTTGCCTTTGGGTGGGGGGACAGGCTCCGACTCTTGTTTGTGCCTACGTGTCAAACGGCAGTTCAGAGTATCCGGTCTTCTTGGAGTGCTTGGCAGGGGTGCTGGAAGGTGCGACCAGCTGGGGACTCCTTTATTCTGCCTGAGGACTTCACGTGGGTAATGCCCGTGTGACCTTGAGGGGCATGACTGGGAGGAACGGCCTCTCTGATCTGAACTCGAGTGGTGTTCTGTTGGACTTCTGTGCTAGTCATAGTTTGTCCATCACAAACATGATGTTCTAATATAAGGGTGTCCATAAGAGCACTTGGCACCAGAACGCCCTAGGTCATAGATCGATGATTGACTTTATAGTCATGTCATCTGATTTGTGGTCATTTGTTTTGGACACTCAGGTGATGAGAGGAGCTGAGCTGTCAACTGATAACCACCTGATAGTGAGTTGGGTCAGATGGCGGGGGAAGATGCCGGACAGACCTGGTAGACCCGAATGTTTAGTGAGGGTTTGCTGGGAACGCCTGGTAGAAGAACTAGTCAGAAAAATCTTCAAATCACACCTCTGGGAGAGCTTTAATTGCATGCAAGCTGAGGTGGGAGATATTGAGTCTGAGTGGGCCATTTTCTGTATTTCAATTGTTGAAGTAGCTGCCTTGAACTGTGACCGCAAAGTTGTCGGTGCTTCTCGCGGTGGCCATCCTTGAACTCGGTTGTGGACACCACGAGTTAGGGAGGCTGTAAAGATGAAGGAGGAGACCTAGAGGGCCTTGTTGACTGGTGAGACTCCAGAGTCAGCTGAGGAGTACCGGAGGGCCAAACGTCCGCAGCCTGTTGCTGAGACAAAAGCTCTGATGTGGGAGAAGTTCTGTGAGGCCTTGGACAAAGACTCTCAGTTTTCTCTAAGGAGATTCTGGCAAACCATCAGGCGGCTGAGGAGGGGAAAACAGTGCTTTATTAATACTGTTTTCAGTTAAGGTGAGGTGCTGTTGACCTCAACCAGTGATGTCATCAGGAAGTGGAAGGAATATTCTCGGACCTTCTCAATCTCACCAGCACATCTTCCATGGAGGAAGTTGAGTCCTGGGACTTTGAGGTTGGTCTATCCAGAACCGTGGCTGAGGTTGCCAAGGTAGATAAAAAGCTCCGA